ATTTTCTTTCTTCCTCTAAAAAATTTCTTTTCTTCCTTAATTGGTTTTTGGATGGTTTTTCCATAGGAAGAATTCATTACCAGCTTAAATATAATCTCTGCTGGATCATGGGACTGTTTCATTTCTTTTCTAACTCTATAAATCTCTTTTATTTTCTCTTTAAATAGTCCAACCTTAGTGCCTTTCCAATATATCCCCTGAACCACCTTAAATTCTATTTCTTGATATTTAATTAAGTCTTCCAAGTAGATCGAATCTACTGTCATGGTGGTTTCTTCATTTATATATTGATTTATCCCATTCACTTTCTTAATAATAATGGGCATTTTTCTCTTCTTATTTATCTTTGTTATCTCTATTGTAACAACAAAATATGAGATAAATTTCGTTTCAGTGGGTTCAAACTGTTGTTCATCCATTAAATGTTCAAGATACCATTCAATTGGATGTACCATTCTATTTGGAGATGAGAATGGAAGATATAATCGTGCAATAGCAGAAGGATACAAGCTGCACGCATCAAAGTCAACAATTTCATCAGTGATATAATATTTTTTATTTTCACTGGTCATATTTCTTCCTCCATATACCGCTTGTTTAATATATTCTCGAACAACCCCTGTATATTCAAATAACGCGTCTTTAGCAAAACAATTGTTAACAAAGAATGCATATGCCATTGAACTGAGTGAGGCATAACAGACGCAATCAAGCTGGAGATGTGTTTGGACCATTTGACGATATTTTAAAAAGCCTTCTCTAAGCACAAGAACATCACGAAGGCAATAATACTCACAATATTTTTTAGAATTAAAGTGAGTGTCATCAATAAGACAATTACATTTTACTAGAAGGTCCTTAAATTTCTTTCTAGTGTCTTCACTCCAGACTGGTTGTTCATTATTTCCACATTCATTAATGATTCCAATTTCCATTGTCTCTTCTGAATAATAATTATATGGTAGTATTTCTTTTTCATATTCTCCATCAAGTTTAAAGAATTGCTTAAAATTAGCTATGGAGGTTGGAATCAATGAAAGGGTATCTTTAAAGATAATTTTCTTCCCTTTATATTCTACTACCATTTTATAAATCATTTTCCCTCTCATAATAATATTAATAATTCCAAATCTAGCAAGGAATCTTCCATCATATCCTAAGTTATGGAAGTAACATATCGGTGAATCTATGGTGCTTATAT